AATTAGTGAGATTTCTTTTTCTGCCTCTTCCTCTTTCCCTCCAAAAAATTCTGTATAAAATAATTCCACTTTCTCAATTGAGTCAATTCTATGTCTCTGTTCTTGCCATGTGAATATTAAACCTTCTGGAATCAGCCATCTATAATTCACCTATTTTTTAAGTAGCATTTTAGTCAGGAATCTGTATTCTCTTCTCATCTCTCTCACTCTTCTGGGTATTTGTTTCAAGACCACAATCTCCTTGTCTTTATATTTCAATGTTTTCTCTTTTGCCACTTGCAATATTTGCATTTTAATGGCTTTCTTTGTAAATCTAATGTGAACTTCTCTTGGTAAGCTATTTCTCATCGCATATCTTGTGAAAACTCATATATTCCATCCATCATCTTCTCTTGAGTTATTTCCAAAGCTTCAGCCAGTATTTCTATCATTATCTCAGCTAAGTTTTGTCCTTTTTCTTCCTCTACATTTTGGAATCTAAGATAGAATTCTGATCTATCCATCTCCCATCTCAACATACCACTTTTATCTTGTTCAACCACCGTTAATCTATTATCAATATCTCCAATCTTCTTGTCTCTTTGTTTATCTTCTTCTTCAATTTTTTGGAATCTCTCATCATACTTCAACATCATTTGTTGGATGTTCTCCACTTTTTCATTGGTTTTCCCTGTTCTTTGTTCAATGTTCTCTGTTCTGTGTTCAATGTTCTCTATTCTCTTTTCAATATTCTCTGATCTTGCTTGAATATTTTGAATTCCTTGCATAATCATCTGCAGAGTCACTTTTTCTTGCTTTAACATTGTTTGTATTGAACGTTGTCCTCCAGATGGTGGAGAAGAAGAAGTAGAAGTTGAAGAACCAGGAGCTGTAAATTTCCTACTCATTTTAAGCAATTCAAAATCTTCAGGTTCTTCTAAACCTTAATCCAATTGTGAAATAACCAATTGTAGTTCGAAATAAAAATAGTAGAAAAAAGAAGCCAAATAGTAATGATTTTTTTAAAAAAAGGGAGGACAAAATTTCTTCAGGTTCTTGTATACCTTAATCCAATCAGTAGTTAGATGAAGAAAAAGGCTTGGGGGGAAAAAAGAAAAGGAAAAATTCTTCAGGTTCTTGAACACCTTAATCCAATTGAGAGGTCTCAAATAGAAAAGAGTGCATAAAAATAAACCAAAAAGGTAGATGAAAAAACAAAAATACCAGGAAAGGAGAAAAAAAGTCTGTTCCCTTTAAAAAAAAAGGAAACATTAATACTAAAGCTTTCCCTTTAAAATAAAAAGCAAGCATAGAGATTGGACTTCCAAAGGGAAAAAAAGAAAAACAAAGACAAGCTGCAACAAAGCCAAAGATCCAAATAGCTATTGCAAAACAAAAAAAAGATAAAATGAAATAAAATAAAGCTGGTGAGGAGGGATAGCACAACTTAGAAAAAGTAAAAAGAGCACACTGCATTTTGTTTAATTATCCAAGGCTCTTATTATAACTCTCTTCTCCAAAAACTTATCACCTTTTTTTCCCCTAAGTTTCAACATCAGACTCCAGCTGTTGATAGAAACCCAGAAGAGCACCTGCAATAATACTCTCCCATGCTCTTCCCTCTATCTTATCAAATAGCAATGTCCTTGAAAAAAAAGTCTCAGTTCTTTCTTTCTCAGCTTTGTCTGGTCACAGGAAAAATAGAATATTTCCAAGCCTCTAGTTGGCAGTGTTACAAAGTTTCTTTGCTTTCACTTTCCCCCTCCTTTTCCAAGCAAAATATAATAAGAATTAATAAAAAAAGAAAAGAAAAAGATATTTTAAAAAAGAAATAACTAAAAGGGAGTCTCTAGCCTAAAATGTTACAAAATCAAAAAGGAGAAAAAAAATAGATAGAAAAGAAAAAACCAGTCCAGTTTCAAAATATAAGATCATGTATAGAAAATCCAGCAATGAGAAAAAAACATTACTTTGACATTCCTGTTTAAAATCGCTGCTTAATCACTTCTGTCAAAACTTTTACAGATTCTTTCTTTTCCTTAGGGTGCCCTTTCAGATCTTAGAATAAAGAAAAAGTTCTCACCAAACCAGCACACTGTCTCTTTCTGTTCTCTTTCTTTTCGGAGCTGTCCCAACTTCAGCAGCTTTAATGGCTGCCTCTTTGCCGCTGGCAAGAAGAGCTTCTCCTGGATCTACCAGGGACTTTGCGGTATCCCTGGGATCGACAGGATGCGCTCTTCACTTTTACTGTCTCTTCAGGACGGTTTAGATCCAATAGGACCGTCCAGGAGCAAAGATATCAGCAGCGATCTCAGACCTCCAAGATCGCATGCCGTATTGTCACAACACCAGCTCCGCCCCCCCAATATCCATATAATTTTTAATCATCCTCTCCTCAGTACCTATTAAGATTTTATCTAATTCAGTAAATTCTTTGTATTCTTTGTAAAACCCTTCTGTCCTACTATTTTTATTATATCTAGAATGTATTTGCACATATGAGTACCAAATTCATCTTTATCTCTTGTCCATCTAATTCTTGCTTTGTTTTGAGTTCACCCTTTTCATTTAGTATTTCACTATAACTATGTGTTCCATTTTAAAAACAATTGGATACACAAATGCCTCTATTGTTGATAACCAGACTGGTATTTTCATGTAATGTTGTTTCCTTATTTTCTCCCATGTTGACAATAAAGCATCTCAAATATAATGCCTCCTGAAATACCAAGGTGCTTTACTTTCCTAATACCATAAAAATGCATGCCACCCCAATTGCAAATCATGACCTTCCAGTGTTAACAATCTAATATTTTTCAAAACAATCCATTCTTTCACCCACATCAGTGTTACTGCCCGGTCGTATAATTCCCAATTGAGTAATCCAAAACCTCCTCTCATTCTAGCATCCTGTAACAATTTTAATTTAATTCTTGCCTTCTTTCCCTGCCATATATATTTCAATTTTATTTTATTTAAGTGCTCAAAGTATTCTTTCCCTAATTTAATTGGAATTGTCTGAAACAAATATAATATCCTTGATAGTAAGTTCATTTTGATTGTAGATATTCTCCCTATTAGAGATAGTTGTAAATTTCCCCATTTTTTCAAATCTGTCGCAATCTGTTTTGATTTATAATAAATATCTTCCTTTAACGTTCCACATCTTGCTGTTAATTGTATTCCTAAATATTTTACTTTGTTTGTGATGTGGATATTCAGCCTGTCTGTCAATTCTTTCCTTTTTCAATCATATTCTTAACTAAAATCTTAGTTTTATCTTTATTTATTTTTAATCCTGCCACCTGTCCATAGTCTTTGATCTTTTCTATCAATTTGGGCGCTGTTTCCAATGGTTCCTCCAATATGAAAACCAGATCATCTACAAATGCTTATAATTTATATTACTCCTTTTTTATTTTCATTCCCTTTATTTCTCTATTATCACTGATAGTTCTATTTAATACCTCCAAAGTCAGTACAAATAGCAGTGGCAACAGAGAACATCCTTGTCAGGTTTCCTTTTTTAATGTTAATATTATCTGTCAAATCTCCATTTATCATTACTTTTGCAGATTGTTTATAATATATTGCCTCAATTGCCTTAATGATTCTTTCTCCAGAGCCCATCACTTCCAAGGGCAATAACATAAATTGCCAAATTTACATTGTCGAAAGCTTTTTGTGCATCTAAAAATACCAAGGCCATTTGCTTCTCTGGGTGTGTTTCATAGTATTCCAATGTATTCAAAATTATTCTCATGTTGTCTTTAATTTGCCTCTTAGGCAGAAATCCATTTTGATCAGACTGTATAAAGTAGTTCAAGTATCTTTTGAATGCTTCTGCCATTATTAAGGCAAATATTTTAGTCTTCATATAGCAGGGATATAGGGAGGATCTACAACTTCAGCGGGCAAGCTATTCTGTTAATTGTTTTCAATGTCAGGAAGTTTCTCCTGAATTCCAGTTTGCTTCTCTCCATTCGAATTTCACCTGATTGACTCAGCCTTCCGTCTTTCCGAGGTGGGTAAAACGAGGACCCAGATTGTTGGGGGCAAGAGGCTGACTCTGAAAACCGCTTAGAGAGGGTTGTAAATGCACTGTGAAGTGGTATATAAGACTTAAATGCTATTGCTATCTTCCTTCCTTCTGATTAGAATGTAGTATTGCAGGCTAACTCTGCCCACTGCTAGACGTTCGATCTTGATCAGCTCAAGGTTGACTATGCCTTCTGTCCTTCCAAGGTTGATAAAACGAGGAGCCAGATTGTTGGGAGCAAGAGGCTGGCTCTGTAAACCACTCAGTGTTCTGACCCACACCCTTTTCCAACAAATCAAACACAATCCAGAAGGAACAGAAACCTTGTAATTCTTTTACAAAATAACTAGCTGTGATAAGCACAAGCCTTGCCAAACTGTGTGAGACTTGCCAGAAGATAACAGACAAGAAATAATTTGCAAATTAGAATCTTCAAATACAAACTCAGGATACTGGAATGTCCACGAGGCTGGAGTTTCAAAACATCTTTGCCTTCTGCAAAGTACGTTTGTTTCACAGCTGGCTTTTATCTTCTTGAAGGAGGGGCAGCCTTACTCTTGAGTCGCCCGTGCTGTTCTAACTGCTCTTTTCTACGAGCAATCCTGTGCGCACGCGCACTTGGCACAGGCTCCTCGGGAACCTCCTCATCGCTGCTGCCAGCTCCCACAATCTCTGAAGGCAGCAGTTCACTCCCTAGTGGTCCTCGCTCTCCTCAGCCATCCACATCTGCTGCCGGCTAACCACAACACTCAGAGAGGGATGTAAAGCACCGTGAAGCGGGATATAAGTCTAAGTGCTATTGCTCAGTGCTATGTGGTTTGGCTTCCAGGCTCTTTGTCAACACACACACACACAAACACACACACACACAAAACATTGGTTCTCCATCATCCAGTTCTCCAGCTGCATCCTTCATCTAGTCTCACAAGTGTCACCCAGACCCAAAAATTGAAGAAAGAGGCGACACATGGCCAGATCTGTGCAATTTAATTTTATTATCCTATTTCAGAACAAGAGCTATGAGGATTTGGGGATGGGAGTGCGGTGGATTCCCCTTAGGGTGGGCGAGTGGGGAGGCTGGGTAGTTGCTTCTAAGTGATTATGCGGTTATCGGGGAAGGCAGGGGGGTGCTTTCCTCCCAGAGCTGAGCATCAGAAGGTGAGACCCTTTAAAAAGGAAGTTTAATTCTGGGCGTGATAATGCAGTCCTGGCTGACGACGGCTTTCTTTTCGGTTCTCATGTTGATGAAGATACCAAAGGTGCAGTTGTGCTTCTAAAGAAACCAAAGAAACAGAGTTAGGGGAAGCATTGATAAGACATTGATGCTGAAGTTTTGGATCAGAAAATTAGAGAGAAGATCTGGACTGGCTTCAGACAACATGATTGGATCCCTGGAAGGTTTAACTGCTAAATTTGCACAATGCACCAAGGGCTGTGTGGTTGTGGTATTGAGCCAGTCTAGCCAGTCTGGCTAGAAAGCAGGAGATTGTGAGTTCTAGTCCCGCCTTAGGGATGAAAGTCAACTACGTGGCTTTGGGCCAATCACCAGGAGACTGGGAGGTTTAGTCCTGCCTTAGGCATGAAAGCTGGCTGGATAACTTTGAGCTAGTCACTATTTCTCAACCCAGCCTGCCCTGCAGGATTGTTGTTGTGGGGAAAATAGGAAGGTGTGTTGGTTATGTTCGCTGCCTTGAATTATTTGTCAAAATAATAATGGCAAGATACAAATTGATTGATCAATAATGTGCCACAAAACCCAGCTGCTTTGGTTAGGATTTCACTTATTTGGAGAATCCAGATAGTTTTTGCTTAAGGAGGCTGATTATTATTGTTTATTGTTTATTAAATGTATATTCCACCCATCTCAGAGATAAGGAGATTCTGAGAGGTTTTTTTTTTTTTTTTTTGCGAGTTGGGCAACTACATAAATTTACAAAAAAGGCAAAGCCGAGTTGCCGAGCCTTAATTCAACCATCCCCCATTTAAAACCAACCATCGTTTTTGCTAGGCAGGGCAGATTGTTCGAGATTCGAAACTTGCAGCTGTTACCTCTTGTTTTAATTTTGGTAGAAGCTGGCAGCCCTCCTTCTCCATGTAGGCTCTGGAATATTCCACGCCAGCCTCTTCTTGCTCTTTGGTTCTGGTGCAGTTGGTCTTGGCCAAAAGCATCTTGACGTAGACCATAATGCCGATGGCTTCCTGGGATCAAAGAAGAAATCACATCTCAGAAATGTCGCTTCGGATCGCTGCATCACTCACTCGCCCTTACAAATCCCAGTGAGACTTTGAACTGTGTTGGGATGAGTTCAGTCTGAACCCCTAAACTTTTAAGCAGAGGTGGTATTCAGCCGGTTCTGACTGGTTCTGGAGAACTGGTCACGGAAATTTTGAGTAGCTCGGAGAACCAGCAAATACCCCCATCAGTGGAGCAGAGGACAGCTGGATTCTGTTCCCAGTGTGCACATGCACAGAGCTGCCAGGAGAAGGGAACAGCTAAGGAATAAGGGTAAAGGCACAGGTGGGCAGTGAATGGCCCCTCCCATAGGGAATAAAGAGGAGTGAAAGGGGAGAGGTGTTTGCAGGAGACAATTAGTTCATTTAATGAGGGTGAAGATTTGTGACTCCAATGCCAGAGGTGCTATTCCACTGGTTAATTGTTCTCACTGTCAGGAAATTTCTTCTTAGTTCTAGGTTGCTTCTCTCCTTGCTTAGTTTCCATCTGTTGCTTCTTGTCCTGCCTTCTGGTGTCCTCTTCTCTGTGAGAGTCCAGCTATTCTCCAAAGCACCTGAAGGCAGGACAAGAAGCAACGGATGGAAACTAAGGATGCATTACCTGTATTCAGAACCAGAGGTGGTATTCAGCCGGTTCTGACCAGTTCTGGAGAACCGATTGCGGAAATTTTGAGTAGTTCGGAGAACTGCCAAATCCCACCTCTGACCGCCCCCGCCCCCATCTCTCCTCTGCCTCCTGAGTCCCAGCTGATCGTCCGGGTCGTCTTTGGTTGCCCTTCACAGGAGAACAGAGCTGGAAAGCAGGTTAGTGGGTTGGGGACGGAATTGGAGTATCCTTCTCCTGCCATGCCCACCAAGCCACAACCATAGAACCGGTATTAAAAATGTAAGAGAGGGCTGCTTTGGACCATGTGCAGAGTGCCATTCAATCTCAGCCACCAGGAAAGTAGGGTTTCCACAATATTTGCATGCACATAGAAAAGAAACAAATTTTGATGGAGAGTAGAAAAAGAAAAGAATAAATAGGCTTTCTATAAAAACGATGAGAAGGAGGGGGAAGGCTGCAGAGGCACCAGGCTACAAACCAGGAGGCTGTGAGTTCTAGTCCTGCCCTAGGCATGAAAGTTGGCTGGGGCTTTTGCTGGCTGAGGGGATTTCTGCTCACCTGGAACTCCAGCTGACCATCCTCCAGATGTTTGTAGTAGGCTCCCATACTTCCTCGATTGAAGTAGGTGACGGCTTGCTCCTTCTTGTAATGAGACACAGCCTCGGTTTGAGCTGCTGCTTCCATTATCATCTGTCGCTCGTCCTTCGCCATGCGCTCGGAAACTTCACTCGACTCTGAACTGGCTTCTTTCAACTTTTCAAAAAGAGGGTGCCTCTTGTTAGGATGCTTTTTTCCAACCCGGGGACCCTTGTTTTTGTCAGCCTCTTCCTCCTCTACACAGGAATGCTTCGTTTTGAAACATTCTTTATCTTTGTGATGATGCCTCTTCTTACAACAACACTCCTCTTCCTTGTGGTGGCACCTCTTCTTGCAGCATTCCTCCACGCAGTGATGCCTCTTTTCACAGAGACACTCCTCTTCGGAAGAGCTCTCCTCTTCCTCGCAACATCTCCCTTCCACTGCAACCGCGGCTAGCAGCAAAGCGCAGCTGAGAAGCAGCTGTAAACCCAGCCAGGACCTTCCCATGGTGGCCAGGAGATGCTGAAAGAAGCAAACAATCCTGGCTGGAGGACGGAGGCTGATATACTTCTCAGGGAGCCCTGCCCCTTGGTGGGTCTGCCCACCAGCTGGAAGAACCCTATAAGTCTCCTATAGGTCAGGTCCGCCCCATTGGCCAGATCTGGGAGGAAGGAAGGGCTGAAGTCCATCCCATTGCTTCATTGTCCCTCACAATTCTAAGGGGACCTCACTGGGAGAAGTCAAGGCATGGTTAGACAATGGCTTTCTCAACATCTCTACTGCAAATTTGTGTAGTGGCAATGCAGAAGGACAGAATAACGGCATTAGAAGGGACCCTGAAGGTTTTCTAGTCGAACCCCTTGCACAAACAAGAGACCCTGTACCATTCCAGACAAGTGCCTGTCCTGTCTCTTCTTTTATACATACATACATACATACATACATACATACATACATACATATTTTATTCATAAACGTTTTTGAATACAGCGTATTGTCAGCGTATACCATTTACAAGAGAAAGAAAAAAGAAAACCATAAAGAATACCACATTAAATATTAACACATGTACATATTTGACTATTAATGTATTAACAGCAGCTAGAATTGTATTTGCACAAAATTGGAAAAATGAGAAAATTCCAACAGAGGAGGAAACAATTAAGAAAATAATGGAATGTGCGGAAATCAGTAGATTGACAATGGCAATCAAAGAACAGGAAGAAAAAGAGTATTATAAGATTTGAAATTTATTTTATGAATGGTTAGACAGAAGAATAAGAAACTTAAATACGTGGTAATAGCAATAACATTTTATAACTGATTTTGAAAGAATAAGAGAATGAATATAACTTAGTAAGGATGGATTATATTTTTGAAAGATAACTATAATGTTAATGATAATATAATAATCAAACAATATGAGCTAAAATGTTGATTAGAATGCTTATAAATATAATTAAATAAGAAATGTATGATATCATTATGTGCACAAGATATATGTACCCAACCAACACACTGTAGAATCGGAAGATAGTTTTATTTGTTATTTTGGTTTTAAAAATATTTTTTATTTAAAAAAATATATTAACACATGCAGTGATAGCAATACTAACATATACTAATAATAATACATGATACCAGTAGTAATATCACCAAATACTTTTAACTAAATTTCTTTTTATATTAGCTTATTTACATTTTTAGTAATTAGAATAATTATAAATCATTTCTACTTCTGGTCTCTTCTTAAAAGACTCCAGTGTTGGAGCAAGTTTGGTGGCAAGTTGTTCCACTGGTTAATTGCTCAGTCACCTTTCTTCGTATGTTTTAGTTTCCAGCCCCCTAATCATCCTGGTTGCTCTTCTCTGCACTCTTTCCAGAGTTTCAACATCTTTTTTACATTGTGATGACCAAAACTGGATGCCAATATTCCAAGTGTGGCCTTACCAAGGCATTATAAAGTGGCATTAGTCCTTCACACAATCTTAATTCTATCCCTCTGTTAATGCAGCATTGGACTGCTCTTTTGACAGCTGCAGCACATGACTAGCTCACATTGAATGGCTTATGAGTAAAAAATAAACCTTTAATTTCCTTTATTTACTGGTAGGATTATTGTCACCGCCCCAACTCTTGGCAAAACACCTTATTGGGATAAAAGCAGGCTGAGAGAGAGTGTGATGGACCTCAAGTCAGATGTGGGGTTGAGCTATCCATATCCAGAATTTCATCCTACCTGCTCCCTTTTGGGACTCCAGAATCAACAGCTGAGCAATTTCTTCTGTTCTCCTTCTTCAGTCAAGAAAACTGAGTCTTCTAATAGTTAGTTCGGAGAACTTTTCCAAGCTTCTGTTGAAACGTCCCAATTTCCTGTTTTCTAGGCCATAAAATGAATTATAACCTCATTAAATGAACAGAAAATACTTTTCTGGTCTTCTCTGGAATACTTTGACTCTTAGGGAGCAGGTGGGCCTCCAAATCTTTATGTCAAAGAAGGAGAGACCTTTCATTTCTATGACCTCCAAGAAACTCAAATCTAAGGCCAAACTTAGTTGGGGAGGGAAGAGTGAAAAATATGAATAGAGGTAGTCCTTATATTACGACCACAACTGAGCCCAAAATTTATGTTGCTAAGTCCAACAATCACTCTCAAGAGGAGTGAGTCACCAATCCAGAATATTGCAACTCCTAGACAGTAAAATGTTGAGTCTTGTTGAATATACTAAACTGGAGGTTTGCAAAAACTAGACTGGGAAACCATTTGACTGGCAGGTATAAGATGTGTTGCCTCAAGCAGGGGTTGGACTAGAAGACCTCCAAGGCCCTTTCCAGTCCTAGAATCCCATTTTTTTATGTTGCAATGTGATTTTAAAGGGGGGTTATTATTATTATTCTTGAATGCCAGGGGTTATATGTTGTGTTTTGGGTATTTTTAATTCTGGCATGCTGCTCAGTCATTTGTGTGAGTTGGGCAAAGGGGATATACAAAAAGAAGGGGAGTGGGAGAGGACATAGATACAAACTCAAGGTTAATTGCACCAAACTTGATTGCAGGAAATACAACTTCAGAAACAGAGTGGTCAATGTCTGGAATACTCTACCTGACTCTGTGGTTTCCTCCCCAAACCCCAAAAACTTTAACCTTAGACTGTCTACTATTGACCTCATCCCTTTCCTAAGAGGTCTGTAGGGGGTGTGCATAAGCGCACCAACTGTGCCTACCGTCCCTGTCCTATTGTTTCTTTTATTTTTTTATTTTTCTTATATGTATCCATGCATTCATAACTATGTTTTTACTTATACCTATTACCTTGTAAGCAATTGACAAAAAAAAAATAAAAAATAAAAGACCCTTGGACACTGAAGGAGCCACAATCTCATTGCTGAAATCCTCCAAAAATTCTCTCTTCCCTCCCTGATCTCGACGGTGGATGTTTTCTTGGCCACAATTCTCTACATCTTCTGTTGCTCGCCTCTCTCTTGATAGAAGATTATTGTTTCTGGCAAGGGCCATGCTTGGCCAGCTCTGGCCAGAATGCTTTGAAGTCACTGACGGACCAGAAATAATAAATACCTTTAGAACATTTGTGTTTTTAAAAAGGAGCCAAAGATAATGATAAAGACAGTCAAACCCAAACAATGAACAAGGGGCTTCATTTTTTTGAAAGCACCAATTCACCTTGGGTTTCACTTGGCAAAAATTTGGCCAGAGCAATTTTAAGCATATTAGAGATAACCAATGCACAAATATTCCAACTGGCCAAGAAAAATCTCCTGTGACCTGGAAAAACATTGGATTATTCTCCAAAAGGTTGATTGTCCTCCATCTTTGGGGTGTAAAAAGACACCTGTAAAAATCCCACCTTAAGATGTCTATTCCAACACACACATACACACATTCTTCCCCAAGTCTAATCTTTTAATCCCTTTCCACCCATTTCATTTTCCAGAGGAGGTCAGAAAGAAAAAAAAGATCTAAACTTAATTTCTTGTTGTTCTTTTTCAGCAAGAAAAGCAAAAGTCCTGAGAAGTTTCTTTGCGAGGACAATGTACCTCTCTCAGAAATTTTAGGTGGGCGTGGAGTATCGTGGTAGTGTTTGACATACAAACCAAAAGGACCAGATATTGTACGTCACCATTTCTTTTTTAAAAGGACGGTTTTTTTTGGTCTACACCCAGAATACCAAATTTATTTATTAAACTTATAATTTAAATTTAAAGAGGGGGTGTGTGAAACATCCTAGAAGGATTGCTTTGATGGCATCTACAATCCTTAAATTGGTCTGATGGGACCAGTCAAGCAAAGTTGACTTATTTCCCTTGTGTGTTGAATAAATATATTTGAATTTTGGCTTAACCCCCAGGGGAAAAATATGAGAATTGGGTTTTGAAGGCTGGTTCTGGGATGTCCTACCCAAAGACACCAATTGTGGGGTCAGATCGATGCCTATGGAAGGGAGGGCACGTGACTGGACCAAGGAAAGAGAATGTCACAGCCAACCAAAGCCTTCTTTTAGGGGAGTGGCATTCGATTGTCCAGCCTGAGATGCCTTCACCAAATGACCGTTTCTCTTTTGGGGTGTGTCTCAAGGGAGGGCAGGCTGTCTGGACTTGGGGGTGGAGCCCCTGAACCTATATCAGTCGGTGTCCCCCATCTCCAGCCCGCCCATTGCTACCCAAGGAGTTGTGGCATTGATTTTGGCACCATGGGAGGCTACTGGCAGCTGGTCTTTGCCTGCTGCCTACTTGTCCGAAGTCTTTCAGCAGAATACTCGGTGAAAGACAACTCAACCTCTGCAGTGAAAGACAACTCAACTTCTGTGGTGAAAGACAACTCAACCTCTGCGGTGAACTCAGACGAAGAGCTGAAGAAGAACATTGGGCAACGAATTGCTTCCCTGCAGGAAATGCAGCAGGATGAAATTCGCAACTTCGCTGACTTAGCCTTGCAACATTATAACACGCAGAAATCCTCCTTGTTCACAACCTTGGAGGAAGCAACCGTGACGGTCAAGGTAAGGAGCATCTTGAAGCCACTGAGATGGTCTCCATCTGATGATTGTTTCAGTGAGGATTGTAGCCATTTAGCACCCTCTGGCCCCACAGGAAATCTAGACGGTAGTTCCCATAATTCCCGGTCTTGTCAGTTGCAGAATTAGAGACTTTGCAGTCCAACTCAACCAGCTGAGGAACGCTGTCATGTCCATTCACCTAGGAGATGGATACACACACACACACACACACATACACACACACACACACACCATTATTTATTTTATGGAGTTTTTGAGTTCTCACCTCTCCTTCAGAAGCTCAAGGCTGTGTGCATTGCACTCCTATCTCCTGTTCTCCTCCTCAACAGCAATCCTGAGAGGTAGGCTGGGCTGGGAGGATCTATGACCGAAAGAGCAAGTTTTCTGTGACTGAAGGCGGAGTAGAATCTGTATCTCTTCATCCCTAGTCCAACACCTTCACTGAGGCTCTTGTTTTTGATATCTCACCATTCGTGTAGGACCTCAAAGGCAGCATAGAGAGTGGAAGAAAGGGGACTAAAACTTGGGTTTTCTCAATTGCACAGAAGAGGAGCATAGGTGATAAAGAGTCTGGAGGCTAAACAGTATGATGAATGGTTGAGGGAGTTAGATATGTCTAGCCTATCAAAGATGATAAGGATTAAAGTGGGGAGGGGGATGATAGCAGTCTTCTAGTACTTGAAGGGCTGAGAAGATTGATTTAATTTCCAAAACACTGGAGGACAGGTAGAGATTCGAGTAGTAATGTAAGTTTTTTTCATTATTATTATAGATCCAACATAGAATTAAGGAGAAATTTAAGGTGGCTTCTTAAAAACCTCCAGAGATGGAGCATCCATAATTTCTGAAGGCAAGCTGTTCCGTTGGTTAATTGTTCTAACTGTCAGGAAATTCCTCCTTATTTCTAGATTGCTTTTTTCTCCTTGATTAGTTTCCATCTGTTACTTCTTATCCTGCCTTCACATGCTTTGGAAGTCAATTCCCCCTTCTTTGGGGCAGCCTCTCAGGGGAAGTATTAGTGTGGTTTTATACTGCGCTGGTGAGACCACACTTAGAATACTGCATCCAGTTTTGGTCATTAAAATACAAAAGAGATGTTGAGACTCTGGAAAGAGGGCAGAGAAGAGCAACAAAGATGATTAGGGGACTGGAGGCTAAAACATACGATAAATGGTTGCAGGAGTAGAAAATGTCTGATTAATGAAAGAAGGAGGGGGGGGGGTGACAGTAGCAGTCTTCCAATATTTGAGGTGCTGTCACATGGTACAACCTGCAAAGCACCTGAACTGAAGGCAGGACAAGAAGCAATGGATTAAAACTTATCAAAAAGAGATTCTACCTAGAATTAAGGAGGAATTTACTGACAGTGAGAACAATTAACCAGTGGAATGGTTAATTCAGAAGCTGTGGGTACTGCCACCATGGTGGTTTTCAAGAGATGGGGCAACCATTTGTCTGGAATAAAATATGGACTCCTGCCTGAGTGAGGGTTGGACTAGAAGACCTTCAAGATCCCATCCAATCCTATCATTCTATGTTTTAGTCCAGACTTTATACCACTCTGTCTCTTTCTCCTGTATTTAATCAAATAGTTAAAGTTTTGTAAACCAAAGAGAATGGAATACAATGGACAAATATGAGATGATACGAATGCATGAGTATAAAAGAATGTAAATATGTATATAATTGTAGATAAATGTAGATAAAAGTAAATAGAAATAATATGCAGCTAGCACTATATTAATAACGTAAGGGGGAAAAGGAAATTAACTGTTACGGGTATCTCTATACTATAGTTTGTATGGCCAAAATGATGGCCAAGAAAGTCGCACTGTGTTCAATTGTTTTTAATGTTTATTCAACAAAATTTATTTTAAAACACTACACAAATATCCAATAATAATTTGGGATGGATTCTTTTCTTCTCCTGAATTACATCCTTGAGGAATTTGGGAGAGGCTCTTTAAGGAAGACTTCTATGAGCAGACATTGAGGACCAAACAAAGAAAAAGCAAAGAGTAGTAGAAAAAGGGAAAGACTGGAGGAGAAATTGAAGACACCGAGGCAGTGTTCTTGACTTAAAATGTAAACAGGGAGAAATGAACTACAGCAGACAAGGATTGTTAGGAATGATAGTCACTTAACAGTTGGGTTGGCAATATATAAACCAGGATAGTCATTTAATACTGCTGTATCTTTAAGAGAATGTTGTAATTGTGATTGGCTGAGGTTTCCCACAACGGCCATAAGATGGAGCCAGAAACCTGGTTTGTTCTTTTTTGCATTTCCTTTGCTTTCCTTTTAGAATAGAATAGAATACCTTTATTGTCATTGCATTCTACAAATACAATGAAATTTGAAAGCTACTCCAGTACAGTGTCCCAAACACCACATCACAATCACACTACAGATTATTTAAAAATTAAAATAATTAAATAGTAATTAAAAACCTAGTCTAAAACCTATCTAAAACATATAGTAAGTTAGATAGTTTAAAAATGCCACGATATACATAGGGCTACATCACATATGCATTGTTTGATTCAAGACAATTACTGCCTTGGAAAAGAAACTGTTTCTCAGTCTATTAGTCCTCATTTTAAGACACCTATAATGCCTCCCTGATGGTAACAGTTCAAAATATGAATGTCCAGGATGAGAATGGTCTGTGGAGATTTTTAGTGCTCTAGAGAGGAGTCTGGTCTTCGCAATCTCTTCCAAAGAAGAAAGAGAGCAACCTCTTTTGCCTGATCGTCATTCTGCTTGAATTGCTGTGAATCTTGCAACTATTTGCAAACTCTGTTTACTGAACTTTGTTTATGACACTGGTAAAGAAAAGGACTTCGTTTTTGGATTATCCCTGGACTGATTATTTTGAATACTAACTGCTTTAACCACATATGATTTGGACTGTTTGTTGGACTTTGTTTACCCGTTTACAGGAAGTAAAACTTGCATTTTACTATTCAGTGTTTCTGTGTGCTGGTTGTGTGTTATTCATCACCACCCTCACTATGTTTCTCTGAGTGTAATCATTCTCCTAACGGGGGATACCTCAACAAGGATAATCAATTGTTTGGTGGGAGTCATTAAAACTGTTGTTGACCATGATGTGGTTGTTTGCTCTGATCCCATTCACACATGGGATGGATTCACACAACCCTAAAACCTGGTTTAGGTTTTCAAGTCACAGTGGGCGAACCAGAATCCTCCAATATGATTGACAAGGATTCCAGGTTCACCCAACATCCCAAGACAAAAGGTGAATTATGACATTGGGTTGTAGCCCCAATCACCCCAGCCCCACCTTATCCAAGCCTAGCACATTGTACAATCTTCATTTCGGGGCAGGGGGAATTTTGCAAGGATGTAATTTTGCCTGTTTCCCCCAATTCCATCATGGTGATAGAAAAGCAATTTTCATACGCAGAGAGACGTTTAATTTCCTGCTTGTAAGGGAGTGGTCGAAGCAGCCAAGATGATGGCTGTGATCGCACACTTGCGGGTGCCATCTTGACTTTTTTGACCTCTCTATTCCTAAAGGATGACTTTGCCCTTTGCGGAGCATCTCACAGTCAAAACACCCCTGTGTCAGGGCTCCAACAAATCCATCCACATTCAAATCAGACGTCTCTAGCCGCATCTCTCAGAGTAAAAAAAAAAAAAAAAAGATTGGGAGTGGCCATGTCAGTGTTAGCTGGATGCAGCCGACACTAAAATATTCATTTCCCCCTTGACCCTGGTCTTCCCCCTATGGGACACATCATCAATCAGAAAGCTCAAACTGCCCAAGGAACTGCTGATCCAGTTCTACAGAGGAATTATTGAGTTTGTCATCTGCACCTCTATAACTGTCTGGTTTGGTTCTGCAACCCAACAGGACAGACACAGACTTCAGAGGGTAATTAGGACTGCAGAAAAAACAATTGCTACCCACCTGCCTTCCATGGAGGACCTGTATATCCTGCATGAGTCAAAAAGAGGGCTGTGAAAATATCTACAGACCCCTCACATCCTGGACATAAACTGTTTCAACTCCTTCCCTCAAAACGAGGCTATAGAGCACCACACACCAGAACAACTAGACACAAGGAGAGTTTTTCCCCGAAAGCCATCACTCTGCTAAACAAATAATTCCCTCAACACTGTTCCAACTATTTACAAAGTCTGCACTACTATTACTATTAATCTTCTCATCACTCCTTATCACCCATCCCCTCCCACTTGTGATTGTAGGACTGTAACTTTGTCACTTGTATCCTTACAATTTATATTGACTGTTTCCTAGTATGATTTGATTGTTGATTGTACCTTATGATTATCATCAAGTGTTGTACGTTATGATTCTTGATTCTTAACAAATGTATCTTTTCTTTTATCTGTACTGAGAGTATTTACACCAAGACAAATTCCTTGTGTGTCCAGTCACACTTGGCCAATAAAGTATTCTATTCTATGCTCTCCAGTAATAATCTTGCACGCCAACAGCTTTGGCTGCCTAGCAATTATCTGAAGCATTTAAGGAATGCACTACTTTACCCCACTCCCTTTCTGCTGGCAGCTCAAAAGACCACAGGAGTATCTTTTTAGTTGACACCCTGATTGTTTTCGTAGAAAGCCATTGGATCCATGGTGTACCTGCGGATGACATTAGAAAAGACCAACTGCACCAAAAAAGATGTGAAACATCACAGTCTCTCTCACTCTGATGACTCTGATGACTCTGATGAAGGCCCCCCGAAATATTGCAGTCCGCTTGACGGCCAGAACAAGGAGGTGAGGAAACAGGACTTGGTCTGCATAGGAACCCCAAGCTGGGAAAACTCAGCTAAGAGTTCTTAGGAGTGACTCCATCCAGTGACAGGATTCCCCAGCAAACGGATTCATTTTTGATTATTTTAGATATTTTCATGTCCTGCCTTTAGTGTTTTTCTAAATGACTTAAGGCAGGAACATACGTAGTAGTCCTTCTTCCTCCTATCTTCCCTGCAACAACAACCCTGTAAGGTGGGTTGGGCTGAGAGAGACTGGATCAAAGTCACCCAGCCAGCTTTCGTGCCTATGGCCTAAGGCAGGATTAGAACTCAATGATTGGACTGAAGTGATCCAACTGGTTTCCCTCCCTCCCTCCCTCCCTTTTTCTTCTTTTTCCTCCCCTCTTCGTTCTCCTTCCTTCCCCTCTTTCCTTCCTTGCTCTTCCTCTTCCTCTTCTTCTTCTTCTTCTTCTCCTCCTCCTCCTCCTCCTCCTCCTCCTCCTCCTCCTCCTCCTCCTCCTCCTTCTGCTTCTCCTCCTTCTCCTTCTCCTTCTCCTCCTCATCAGGAGGGGGAAAAAGAAATACCTTAAGGAGTGACTGGGTGGGGGAGAACGCAGTCAGCAATGTTGGGCAGTGATGTCGGCTGGGGAAGGGAGGGGAGGGCGGAGATGGGCGGGGCCAGCCAGGGACACAATTTCTCCGAACTGCACAGAATCATAACAACCGGGTCTACAGAACCGGTCCAAACCGGTAGAATCCCACCCCTGCATGACCACCTTAGAATCAGAGATGGAAGGGACCAACCTTTGGTGTTTTTATGCTCCCAGGCAAGAGTGATGCTTATTTTATGTAAAGCCCATTGAACTTGTGATGGTTAAGCCCTGGGAAACATGTACTGCACATCAAACTTTTTAACTTGTTCCTTGGTTTCCCTCCCCCCCCCCACCTCTCCTTTTCTATTTTTCAGCAACTGGACTGCAAATTTGACATTTTTAAAAATGAAAGGTCTTACGATGAGACTGTAATGAGCCATGACTGCAAGCCAGTTAAAATTATCGATAAGGCTATTTTTCTTGGGGAAGAATTCGACGAAGCTAGAAAATAGCCACAGAAAGGATATGCCTGCTGTCACACACACCCCCACCTCATGCTAGAATCGCTGGTAGCCCCCTCTTGTCCCCCACTGTCCTGAAATAGGAAAATAAAATAAAAGCTTTGCCATGTGATTGACTGACTGCGTCTCTCTTGCCTCTGCCCCATGCAAGGTTCTATTTCTTTCCCAACCAATTACAACTGTAGAAGAACAAGATCCTGCAAGTGATTGGAAGGCATCTGCTAGCCCTTAACTTGACTCAGCCTCCCATTGGCATTCAAAGGCGGACACAAACTGGAATGGCCGGTCAGTAATCAGATGGACAGCTCTTAGTTTAGTTTAGTTTATTGCCATTGCACCTTGTACAACGAAATTAAATACCATCTTCTGTGTACATGATGACTATGTAAATAAACCCAAACACACATCCTTCACATTCTATACATTGAATTGAAAACCCCCAATATTGCATTCACATTGCACTATACAGTAGAATTCAATAGAGTTACTGCCCTGGGATAGAAGCTGTTTTTCAGCCTATTTGTTCTTGTTTTTATTATCCTGTACTATCTGCCCGACGGTAATAGTTCAAAAAAAGGTGTGCCCAGGATGAGATGAATCTTTGAGGATGTTGTTTTGAACTTTCTTAAGGCAGTGGGAGCTATAAAGCTCTTCCAAAGAGCGGAGAGGGCAACCCATGATTCTCTGGGCAATGATGTTAGCCCTCTGGAGCACTGTCCTGTCTGTCCCTGTGCAAATTGGCAAATCTTACTCGTGCTCTTGCTGTATTCGGGCACTGAGACTCCTTTTCGGATGAAAGGAAAAAAAATAGCTTGAAGTCTGAATTTTAAAGTCACAGGAGTAAATGAATATTTCTGAAAGATGAACAACAGCTTTTTTCCACCATGTGACACCATATAAAACCTTAGTAAGGCCACACCTAGAGTACTGCATCCAGTTTTGGTCACCACACTATAAAAAATATGTTGAGACTCTAGAAAGAGTGCAGAGAAGAGCAACCATGATGATGAGGGGACTGGAGGCTCAAACATACAATGAATAGTTGCAGGAACTGGGCCTGGCTAGTCTAGGGAAGAGAAGGACCAGGGATGACAGGATAGTGTTCTGTACAGTCAATTAGCATACTCGTAAACCCCGCGTCGCGATTGGCTAAAGCGCGGGGCGACCGGATTGGCCGAGCGAGCCGCACTGATTGGCCCGTTGAGAATCTCCCGTGATTGGGTGAGCTAAGCGCGGGAGATTCGAAGCGGTGCCATTGGTCGCGGCCGCCGCGGCTTGGAAATAAAGCCGCCGTTTTTCCTTCCAAGTTCAAGCTGTACCCGGAGCACAATAAAGAGCTGAAAATAGTCACTGACTCCGAGCTTCCTTCCTGCGCCAGACACGACAGATAGCATCTTCCAATATTTGAGGGGCTGCCCCAGAGAGAAAGGGGGGGTGTCAAGCTATTCTCCAAGGCACCCGAGAGCCAGACAAGAAGCAATGGATGGAAATTGAACAAGGAGAGATTCAACCTGGAAATAAGGAGGAATTTTCTGGCCATGAGAACTATCAACCCATGGAACAGAAGTTGCCTTCAAGTTTAAAAAAAAGGCAAACCTGACTCAGTTTCCCTGGCCGTTCAGGGAAAAATTCATGAGGCAATTTGAAGTAGGGGAGAGAAGCTGCAGAAGGACAGAAATAGTCCGGCAGCCATTTTGAGGGGAAAGCAACTCCTCCTTCTCCACCAAGTCTGTGAGGCGGTCCTGGAGTTGCATGAGTGACAGGCCTCTTGTTCAATCAGAGGAAGCAGAGAAGTCAGGCCACTGCCAGCCAGCCAATCCCAGGGAGGGGTGGGGATATCTTGGCAGTTGGTGATTTTTTTCACCTCAGGATTCTTTTCAGTAGTTTCAGTCACTTGTTTGCAGAGGTTGTGGTCGTGTTTGGTGCCTGACTGGCCTCCAGGCTTATTTTATTTCTGTTTCCGAATAAGCTTGAGGTTCCACTCCACTTTATGCACTCCTTACCTTCCTCTTTATTTCAGTCTTGTGTCTGACAGATGAGGAAAAGTGTTTGGCCTGACCTCCTCCGTCATAGGGCTGAGAGAGAGACTGGGCAAACCCAAATCCTCCTCTAATTCTAGCATCTTGCAAAAGTTTTCACTTTATTCTCGCTTTCTTACCTTGCCATATATATTTCAACACAATTTCATTTAAATCTTCAAAGTAGTCTTTTCCAAGCCTAATTGGAATTGTTTGAAACAAATATAAAATTCTGGGTAATATATTCATCTTGATTGTTGATATTCTCCCTATTAATGACAGTTGTAAATTTTCCCATTTCGCCAAATCTAACGCTATCTGCTGTTTAAGTTTTATATAATTATTCTCTTTTAGTGTACTGCATCTTGCTGTCAAGTATATCCCCAAGTACTTGATCTTATTCGTGACCTGAATTTTCAGTAGGTCTGCCAATTCTTCCTTTTGTCTTGACAGCATATTCTTTGTCAAGATGTTTGTCTTATCTTTATTTATTTTCAAACCAGCCACCTTTCCATATGTCTCTATCTTTTCTATCAATTTTTGATGCTGTTTCTAGTGGGTCTTCTAAGATAAAAACCAGATCATCTGCAAATGCTTGCAACTTAAATTCTTCCTTTTTAATTTTCATCCCTTTTATATTCTTTTCATCTCTAATATTTCTGTTTAGCACTTCCAAAGTTAACACAAACAACAAAGGTGATAGTGGGCACCCTTGTCTTATTCCTTTTCTTATATCGATAGATTCTGTCAGTTCTCCCTCTATCATTACCTTTGCCATCTGCTTATGATATATAGCTTCTATTGCTTGAATAAATTTTCTAGCAAAGCCCATCTGTTTCAGCAGTAATAACATGAATCGCCAATTCACATTATCAAATGCCTTCTGTGCATCTAGAAATATCAAAGCCATTTGTTTTTCAGGATGTGCCTCGTAATATTTCAAAGTGTCCAAGATTACTCTCATATTGACTTTGATTTGTCTCTGGCAGAAATCCATTTTGGTCAGGATGGATAAAATTATTTAAATATTTTTTAAGTCTTTCTGCCAATATTGAAGAAAGGATTTTATAATCTGCATTTAGTAGGGAGATAGGTTTATAATTCTTGATTTGTAATGGATCGGTCTCCTCTTTTGGAACAAGTGTAATATAAGCTTCTGACCATGATTTAGGTATCCTCTTCTTTAACATAACTTTATTCATAACTTCTAGCAGTGGAAAATTCAATGATTCTTGTAATGTTTTGTAAAATTCTGCCGGAAGTCCATCTGGGCCTGGTGCCTTTCCATTATTTTGTTGTGCTTCAGTTAACTCCATTATCATTATATTGCTTTCTAACATTGTTTCAATTTCTTTAGGTATCTGGGGTAAATTAGCATTCTGTAAATACTGTTTAACTCTTTCCTCATCAATATTCCCTTGTGTGTATAGTTTCCCATAATAATCTCGAATAATTTCCTTCTTCTCTTTACTACCATAGCAAACTTGGCCTTGGTCATCTATTAATTGCGATATTTTCCTTGATTCTTTCTCCTTTCTCAATTTATATGCTAACCATCTACCTGGTTTATTTGCATCTTAAAATAGTTCAGAGGAGATATGTGTTTGAATTAATAAACAACCAGTTGTAATTCATTACTAGTCAACAATCACTTAAATATGTGCCAGGAGTGTGGGGCAGCAGCCAAAAAAGCCAATGCAATTCTAGGCCACATTAGTAGAAAATCAAGATCACATGAAGTTCTAATAATTTTTCAATGAGCCTGAATGGACCCCAAGCTGCCACAAAAATGTGGTTGCACCACATTAGAAGTCCTCAGACAAGCTCCCCCCTCCCAGCTTACCACAAACCAGTTTTATTAATTTATTTATTAAATTTTAATGGCACCCATCTCATTCATACAGTGATTCTGGGTGGATTACCATAGAATAAAGTTTTTAAAAAGGAGAATATAAAGATAGCTAAATGAAGAAGGTTAAAGGGAAAGCTGTTTATTTGAGCCTGTTGCATGGAGGCTGCGGCTACGTCTTTCCCAGTCTTGGCTAAGTAAATTGTTTAAACCCCACTTTTACGGGACTCTTTGAATCATTGAATCCTAGACACCTTTGTCCCTCAAGCTGGGCCACTTGAAGATTGGTGGACTTCAACTCCCAGAATTCCCCAGTCAGCATGCTTTAAGATGGATGGACTTCAACTCCCAGAATTCCCCAGTCAGCAAGCTTTAAGATGGGTGGACTTCAACTTCCAGAATTCCCTAGCCAGCATGCCTTAAAATGGGTGGTGGGATTCTGGGGTTGAAGTCCACCCATCTTGGTGGCCAAGCTTGAGAAACACCCCGTTAGGATACAGAAGCTGGACTATTGTGACATTAGCCACAACTCCACCAGGGTGCGCTGGCTACCAGGCTGAGCTACCGGCAACCTTCCCACTCCAGTTACGGCCAGGTGCCGCTACCTGTTGAGCTGCTGCCAAAACCCAGGAAGCAGCAGAAAGATTTTAACTCCCAGGATTCCTTCTGAACCAGCCCATTTTGAGAAATGCCGGAATGAAGGAACTTCTTGATGCTTTGCTTTCCTTTCCCTCTTTGTGCACATCTCCTGTGTTGGCTGAATCTCTTCGGAGCATTGGACGTTTCCTCCCAAAAGGCAGACAATCTTCCTGTCAGCACAAACCTTCAGGATTTATTTTATTTTTATTTATCGAATTCATCGGCCACGCATCTTACCACAGGGTAACCCTGGCTATTTTTAGCCTGGGGGCAGAGAAAAGAGAACTCGGGGCACCCAAAGTTGCTTCCCCTGGATCAAACCAAGCCTTGGGTGGAGTTGTAGAAGTGAATAAATAGGACATTTGGCCTGGAGCTGCCTGCCAAGGGTTGGATTTCAGCTGCCAACATCCCCGACAAGGTCGACCCCAAATGTTGGTGAAGACCAGATGGCCTATATCTGCTTGAAACAGTATGGAAGGGACCTT